CACAGTTGAGTAGCGATATCTTCTTACTAGAAGCAACCACGAGAAGTCTTGCTGAAAAGATGGAAGGACGTCGTCTAGAAGTATATCACTGAAAAGGTCACGGCTGATGAGAGAGCGGGTGAGGAAGTGGCCGCGTCTAACAGGAGCAGCGGACTCCACGACGGCGGGTAGCGCAAACCATCACTGTGAGGTCACAACGGAGGGTCGTATTTGACCCCGCAGTAGGGGGGGGGGAGCGGAGGTTATAAGCGAAGGGCTCAATCAGAAGTGGAGAAAGCTGCGATTTTCAAATGTCGCATAGTCATTAAGTGTTAAACGACTTATTCATGTTGTTGTGAAGAACATCTGAAAAGACACCCGAAGACAGAGGCCATCCGCAAGCTCAGATGTGAGGAACGGGCGGTGACAAGAAACGCGGTAACCGCCCCGACACTATATGAATTAATAAACAAACGAATATCCAGCATACGATCTGCGAAAAAACCATCGCACACTTTGGAGGCTGAAAAGTGGATCTAGTGCCCTATATGTCGGGGTTTTGAGGCGGAGGTGGTGTAGTGACAAGTGGCGCGCTTACCACTCGCGCGGCGCCGGGTTCGAATCCCGGGTCGACTCCCGCCCAGGCCAACCAAGCCTTCTACCCTCCGGGGACGGTAAATTGGTACCAGATTCGTCTGGGAGGATAAAACACTGACTTGTACATCGGCTGGCCACCGCAAGTCATTGTATAGGCCACATCGCATTCAATAAGCCACTACGATTCTGAATGGAAGTAGAATGCGTGCCGCATCCCACAAAGGGATTGATCAACGGCGAAGACTTTATCCTTTTATTATATCACTTGCAATTCTTCATAAATCTTCTTCATGTCGGGGTTTCTTGGAGATTCCAGCAACAGGTAACCCGATCATGATATTAGGATCAAGGTGCACAGGATTATAGATAGTATTGTGGAAGCTTTACTTTGCCATCAAACAGTAAATCAGGGTTAGAACACAACTATACAACTGCATTTCAAAAGGTGAAAATGCCTCTCAAGCTTCACAGTTGACTTCGTCGATCCCTAACATCACCAGGTAGGCACTGTATGTCAGAAGCATAAATAAAGTTTACATAAAAATGAATGTACACTATTAACTAGAACTACTTTATGATCCTATCATCCAGTTCAGCACAACTTTTTATAATGAGTTCAATCCATATCTCGGTTCTGAAAGGGGAGGGCCCAGGATTTAGTCGGGGGTGCGACGACGTTGCTGGTTTATGAGAACTTGCTGGTTCGGGCAGACGCCAATTTTACTGTGCCGTCTGCGCTCTCCATGTTCGAACCTGTCTACGTCGCTGCTTGATCCCAAAACTGTTTGTTTACAACTACAGAAGCTCGAAGGACACTCCCCCTCCAACGCTGAGGTATGGATAGCCTGATGTATAATCAATTAGCATCTCCGCTAAAGAGACGATTTAAAGAGTGAAGGCAGCTCAAATAAAACCGATCATATAGCGGAAAACCCAAAAGTTGGTGCAGTTAAAATTCGAATCGATTTCAATGTGCAATAGAGAAGTCCAGCATAAGCGCGG